ATTCAATTTAAATTGAAAAATTACAATGGTATGATAAAAAATAAATTAATAAAACTTAAAGTCGCAATATAAAATATTTAATTTAGTCTAAGAAATAAGGGAATTCTCCCACTTTTTTGTCTTAGAAAAATTATATTTAAAATATATTATATTATATAATACTATATATATATATAGATAGATGGTCGACTTGATTCGATTTTGGTCGGTTTACAAATGGCCAAATTGAAATTGACCCTGACTTGGTTGGGTTGAAAAGTTGCTAAATTGAAGCCAATTGGAAAAATTAGAAAATCGACCAACTCAAGTAGAATTGGTTTGGGTTGGTCGGTTTCGTTGACTTCATTGGTTTTATGAACAACCCTAACTGAAATTAATTATTTTTATTTTGTACTCCAAAAAATATTAAAGTAGTATATAAAATATAAGTAATTATTAATTATTTAAAAAGTTAAAATAAAAACAATTGTCAATCCTTATGTGTTTTTATTGTTAAGCTTTTGCTTAATAAACTCCTTGCATCGCATAGGCCCCCACTATTTAATAATGTCTTTTTTTTATATTTTTGTGAGACAAATTCTTACTCCTGTCTAAAGTAATATTAGCAACACAAGCACAAACTTTTATATATCCTCTGATGTCTTGCATGTACTAAATTGTTTAGTGGAGACTCTAATTTATTACATGCTTCATTGTTTGCTATCGATGCACCTGTTAACGGAGAAATAATATCTAGTTCCTCATAAATATCTTGTCTACGCTTATGTTGTAAATTAGCAAGAGGGAGTAGCATAGGGAGAAGACACTTCAATGTTTCTTGCTGAAACAAAATATAATAAATGTCAATTCATTATTTAAGAAAATAAATGTCCAAATTACTAAAGAAGATGCTAAATTAAAGTAACTCTCTTAATCCCTTATTTTGTGATGAAGGTTATCATATTCAGATCTTGCCTAACCACCATTGTTGTCTTACTTGATCACTAGTCTTTGGACAAATTAGATTGGCTTCTATGTCTCCATTCAAGCTGTTTTGGCCATTCTTAACTTGTTATTTTCGTTTCTCTACACTTCAGATATTTTTCTTTTTTCTTTTTTTTTTGTTTACACTATTGACCCTACATCTTTCTTTTATTTCTTTGTAATAGTCTAGCAATGACCCATGAGTTGGAATTTTCCTCTTTAGCTCTTGATACAAGAACCCTATTTCTAGAGTTGAAGAGTTGGACCATTTGCTTCAACAAGCAATCAGTAATTAGGTGGAAGGTGACTCTAGACATGGTTTTTCATGGGCTAAAGTTCAGGTTCAAGCCCTTGAAAACTGTCCAACTTCTTACATGGTAGTCTTGAGAGAGATGATTCTCTCAAAAATGCTTTTTCGGATATATAGGTCAGCCCACCCTATTTCTGTCACATGGCAGTCTTAAGTGAGATGATTTTCTCAAAAATGTTTTTTTCGAGTATATAGGTCAATTCGGCCTGGTTCTTTCACGTGGCATCCTTGAGAGAGATTATTCTCTAAAAAATGTTATTTTTGGGTATATGGGTTGCCCCGACCCATTTCTACCATGTGGTAGTCTTGAGAGATGTTCCTCTCCAAAATTTGTTATTTTCGGCTATACGGGTTGACCCGACCCGTTTTTGCAATGTGACAACCTTGTGAGAGGGAGAGATGTTCCTCTTAAAAATTATTATTCCAAGTATATGGGACATCCCGACCCATTTTTGTATTTATAGGTGAGGTAGGTGGGTCAGTATGGATGAGGGTGGGTTAAGGGTCAATATGAATGGGTTAAGTGGGTCTATATGGGTGGGTCAGGGTTAGGGTGGGTTATGACCCTTTAGCAAGGATTGATGATGGGTCTTGGTGGGTTAGTGGGTCAATATCAGTGGGTTGGTATACAACCCTTACCCAATCCACCCATTTGCCAACCCTATTAAGGTGGAAATTCTATTGTAAGAAGCATAATCTCAAAAGTTGTTGGTGTTGGGTTGGGATCTACTAAATTGTTCCATTTTTGCATACTACCAAAGAGACCTATTAACTTTTTCATTTTAAGGCATGGACTCATAAATTAATTTGGTACAAAGTTAATCATGAGTTAATTACCTCCTCAAGGAAATCCTTGTCCTGCTTATCAAACATTCGTATGGACGAGAAGACAATGAAGGCAACGAGAGAGTGGAAAACAATGAAGGCAACAAGAGAGTGGAAACATGAACGTAAAGATGACAATGCTCGTGCTTGGCTGATGAGTGAAAGAGAATAGAGAATGAGAGAGAGAGAGAGAGATTCATACTAGATGTTCAATGGCGGTGCAGTGGCGCTGACCAGAGAGAAAAACAGCTGTTGAAATGGAGTAGACGGAGAATGGAGGAGAGAGACGTTAGGGTGAGAGGAGTTTTACTTCAATGATAGAAGCCGATGAGTTTTATATCGATAATTTCAATGTATATTTTACATCGACTATCAGTGTAAAGAGAATTCAAAATGAAGTTTTACACTGATTTATGGTCTAAAATTACACTCTTTCCAAACGAATGTAAAACCGAACCGGGGTGTAAAGTTTACCCTGGTTTGATTTTCCACCTCAAACAAATGCGGCTTAAGTGTAAATCATATGCAAGTAAGAGATATCGAATGGTTGTGGTTCTTGTGGATGAGGTGAAGGTTCTAAAATTCAAAGAAATGTGGATAGGCATGGCCAAGTTTGCCTAAGTCGTAACCAAAATCCTAACTAAAATGGTTGTGGTCCTTCCCTCAAACCAAATTTGTTCAAATGGAATATATAACAGAAAACTAATTGATCATAAGTAGACTCGAGTCAATATTATATATATCAAATTAAGAAAAAATAATATGAGATAAAATTTTGGCATTATTTCTCAAGAAAACTGATTTATAATCCATATAAATTAAAAAGAATATCCCATGCCCTTCATATTTTCCACTCCACCATTTTGCTTCACCTTCCTGATTGTTTCGGCAATATTCATAGTGTTCATTCTAATAGATGGGATATAGGTCTGAAAGCAAGAGCTACATTAACCTCCCCTTGAAAATGTATATCAGCTATATTTTGGAGATGAATAAGAGTGATAGTTTTGTGGTGCTGTGAGAGGAAAGCAATTCAAGATTCTCTAAGGAGAAGGAAAAAGGAAAAGGAGTTGAAAGGTCAATACGAACTTTGATGTTTGGAGACCACCTTTCCCCTTCCACAAGATGAACTTTGATGGTTGCAATCTAGGCAACACCTAGGGCTTTTAGGAGTTGGGGGTGATCAAGATTAGTGTATGGGATATAATCACCCTATTTTTTTAGGACCGATTAGTGCAACTGACTTCACAAGAGCAGAACTCATGGCTTGGTTGGGAAATAAAAAAAAAATTAAGAAAGTTGAATACTAACTTTAGTTGGGTTCCTAGAGTACAAAGAATATAGCTGATGGGTTAGCAGCATGAGAAAATTTGTTTTGGGGTGTGCTTTTGTAATGGGTTTCATTAAGTACTGCATTGATGATGTGGCTAGCTGAGGCTATCCACTTATGTAACTTAAAAACACTTTTCATAATTAAAAAAATTGTCTTGCTATTGATAAAAAAGTAAAACATGTGCAAATATCTTTCTCATGTGATCCATAGGCTAATGACAATATTTGTTCTTTCATCCAATTGCCAAATGTATATCTCTCTCTAGTGTATGTGAAAGAATGTGGTCAGACTAGGGTTCAGAATTCATATGTGCCAACCTAGTGGACATAATTGTAAATTTGTAATTCATATGGTTGCCAATTGCCAAGTCAGCTACAAGGTTTTCTTGACCATTATGAATATCAACTTGCAAATCCCAACCTAAACTATGGCCTCAATAATCTGGTAACAATAACTAACTTTTTAAAGAAAAGAACCAAGACAAACAACACCAATAATGTAAAAAGCTTATAAATCATGTTTGATATATGAGATGAATATCTCTGGTCAAAGTAATTCCCCATCTAGATGGTCTAAGGATCCAACAAGTTTAAGCTCCTTTACTGCCTCAAATAATCAAAAACTTTAGGAAATCTATGTCCTTTAAGATCCACATGTCGAGAAATCTTTTTAAAACTGAACATTGGTGATCCAGTACAAAGAAAAAATAATGAATCAAAACTAAGGTAGAAGCCAAGGAGAAACTACACACATGTTTTTTTAGATCAGTGAAACTACACGCATGTTAAAGTGATGAGGGGTAATTTGGTTCTTCTAGTCAAATAGTGACACGTGGCCTCCAGTTGACACCTCGGGACCGAGTCAGCAAACCTGGTCAACAAATTTAGCTCAGAGCACCTCGCCCAGGCCAACCTCCACCTCAACAAGACTGAACTAATAGATACCGTAAGATTACGGCGAGCTAACCTAGGAACCAGTCGAGCTATAGAGATTTAAGGCAACTTGCGAGAGAGAACTCGCTAACCACCCCTGTAACATGTCGCCAAGAGTGTCGACATCTCAACCGTTGGAATAGTCCGTCGTGTCGCATGCCTCGACTTTACTCTGGTAGACCGTAACCTCCATGAGGATCTCACAACTGACACATTAATGCGCCAAATAAAATGGAAATAGCTCTAGAGGGTGCTCAGTTCCGTTACCCTGAAGGCCCTGAGCCCAGGGACCTATAAAAGGCACCCAATCCCACTTGAAAAGGTATGTGCACTAAACTCTCTAAAGCTCTCTCAGTCTCTCAAGAACTCCCAAACATCTTCTGACTTAAGCATCGGAGTGCCCTCCCCAGGTAAAAGACACTCGGGCACTCTAATTGTCTCTCTTGCAGAATGAAACAACTCGGCCTAGAACAGCTCGGCCCAGCCTGATAGACATCCGAGTCGGATCTCGAGTCATCAGACACGGGGAAGCTTCCAAATTGCACGACATCAATTAGCGTTGTCTATGGGAAATGCAAAAAAAGCTAAGTCCTCTATTATAGTCTTTGAAAGCTAAGAAATGGCATCCTCAAGCAACCAGCTCACCAGTAACAATAACAAAGGTCAGATCCCCACTATTACCATCTGCCAAATCGACGTCCCCTTGCACCCAGCCGCTGCACCGGAGAATGTGAATGTGCCTCCTCCTACAGTAGAGTTCACAACGGCTCCTATAGTAGTTGACATGCGTGAATTCTATGATGGTGTGGTGTGTGCAGGGAATGAGTGAGCAACTCAAATCCTGGGAAAACAAATTCACCTCTGTAGCAAGAGCCACAGCCACAACAGCAGTAGCAACAACATCAGCAGGTGCCTCTTGGGCAGGTACCTCCCCAACAAGTACCATAGTAGAACCCCAGCCTGAATCAGGTCACCCACAATGACTCAGCTCCATCCTAGGTCCATAGCCATATCCAGGTCTCCAACAAGGTACCAAGGAATACCAACAACCATCCTTGCGTTGAGGACATGGCTCTCAACAACAATCAACTACCAGTGGAAAGCCAAGCTACGACACCCATCGGGATCAAGGCTGCTAGCTCGTCTGTGGGGACCAAGAAAAATCATGGGAGGCATGCTCACCGAGTCAGGAAGAAAAGCCAGCCTGCTCCAACCAGGGAAAAATCAGGAAGCAAAGCAAACAATAAGGAAGAAAGTAAGGTAAGCAGCAAAGCAGTAAGTTAGGCTAGTGTGCCACCTAAGCAGCCACGACTAACTCGTGCATCCCCCTAGCACTAGAGATTTTTAAGGTGCCAAGATCTAGAAACTTTAGGGCACCACCCCTCGAAACATACAAGGGAACCACAGATCCAAATGAACATTTGGGCAGTTTTCAAGCCCTAATATTGCTCCATAAGGCTAACAATGCAAGTATGTGCATCGCCTTCCTGACCACACTAAAAGAAGAAGCCTGGCTCTGGAACTCAAGGTTGGTCCTAGGTTCCATCAAAAACTAGGACCAGTTCGCAACCAGAAGAAGGCACTCAAAGTCCGTGACCTGCATGCTCAATGTAGTCCAAAAACCAAATGAGATACTACAGGAATATGTACAGAGATTCAACATGGAATGCCTGTAGATTCTAGATATGGACCTCATCATACAATTGATAGCAGCCAAAAATGGTGTACGCCATCCCGAACTACGTTGGGAAATGGAGCTAAACCCACCGGCAACCATAGAAAAGTTCATCGTCGTGGAAAATCAGTTCATGAAAGCATAGGAAGTTGTGGGGTTGAAATATGAGCTGATTGAAAAGAGAAAGCAGGCTGAGGAAGAAGCAAGCAGTAGCAAGAAGAAGAAGAGAAGAATCTCCTAGAAGAAGCAGGTCGCCAAGGAGCAAGCGCAACAACTCATCGTGGAGGAAAAGCAAGTTGCCACCTCGGAGCTCAATTCAATGACAAGATACTCCACCTCTGTATAATAAGACTTTTACCACCCTGAATACAAAAAGGGAAGAAATTTTAATGCACATAAAATCTAATGAACATGTAAAGTGGCCACCCAGGATGATGGGCAACCCAAATACCAGGAACCCCAACAAGTACTACCACTTCCATCGAGATGTTGGACACGACACTAAAAATTGCTAGAACCTTAAAAACAAGATAGAAGACCTGATCAAATGGGGTTATCTGAAACAATTCATCAAGGATGAACGACGACTTGAAGATCAAGGCAAAGAGGTACCCCAAGCAAGTCGGGAGCAAGATGCAGCTCCCAAAAACCAGCAACAAGAGCGACCTGTCCAGGGAACAATCAATATGATCACAGGAGGATCGATTATCGCCGGATGCACCACCTCAGCAAGTAAGAACTCAATCAAGGAAGTGGAGCAAGAAGACAGCAACCCATCGAAGCGCCCAAAGAGAGAAGAGGTAATCTACTTTACCAAGGACAACATGTATGGAATCCAATACCCGCATGATGATGCCTTGGTAATAAGGCTACTCATCAACGACTTCAAGGTGAAAAGAATTCTTGTCAATTCTGGTAGCTTAGGTGATATTTTGTTCTTGGAGGACTTTGAGCGGATGGAGCTTGGCAAAGCCGACCTACAGCCCGCCAATGTCCCCCTAATAGACTTCAACGGAGAGGTAGTTTGGCTTATAGACAAAGTAAGAGTACTAGAGGAAGCAGGTTCGCCTCTCCACACGATGCGGTTTGACCACGAATTCCTAGTGGTCGCCACCCCTTCTCCATACAACACCATATTAAGTCCACCGATCCTACATACCCTCCGAGCTATTGTTTTGACATACCATCTGGTGGTGAAATTCCCTACTGACACAGGCATTGGAGTATTGCGAGGTGATTAGTTGGAATTGTTAGACAGTTTTGTATGCCCTTAGCTTCAATCAGAATGATGTACTTTATGAGTTTATTGTAAATGAATAAAGATACATATTTGATTCATGTTCC